GTGTCCTCAACTATATGCTGTGCCTGCCTAACTATCACCGTCGAGACTCCTCTAAGCCTCACAAAATTAAACGGACTAAATAACTGATGCCGGCAAACCAGAAGAGCTGAAGCAACATATTTTTAGGACGCTGGTTCCTCAGTTCATAATGCAAACACGAAACAGTGGAGGTCAAGTTGACGTCTTAAAAAAAAGAGTCAGAGCACCCATTTAACAGCAGTAAGCCCCTCAGGAACATTTAGCAGACTTTGTGGTGGTGGTGCACAGTTCTGCCGAGCGGTGACACCTGCACAAATAGAGTGCCACCTTCATGGAAGAATCATCAGAAGAAAAACTTTCCACTATCCACAACCCAAAATTCTCCATCCAGACTTCTGCAAATAAAAGTCTAAACAAACCTGATGCATTCTGAAAAACAGTCCTGTAGACTGATGATGGTGAAATGAAATTTCAGAGGGCGTGCAATGAACGCAAATGTGTTTTGAGGGAAAAGGGGTGCAGAAATTTATAAAAGCAACACCTGTTCAAATCCCGAGGACAGGGCTGCATGGATCGTGCAGTCAGTAGCATGGAATGGAAGGATTAGATTAATCCACAGCAAATCCTGGAGGCAAACCATCACAGAATGGCTTCTAAAACAACATACAGATCCTAAACATACCTTAAAATAAAATAAATGACTTTCTCAAGAAGTATAAGCTAAAGTTTCTGACATGATCCTCAAAACCCCAAAGAAACTGTGCATGAAATATTTTAATTGTGTTCATTTTTAACTTCAATTCCTTTGTAAACCCGGTCGTATCACTTAAAGGTGCGTCTAAATCTAAACATATGCTGCAATGTTTTTAAGTACTATCAGTGATATGTATAGTTACATTTGAGAGTACTACCACGTGGAGTCTCCATAGCTGGATCTGTACTCTAAAGCAAATGCTTGCTCTTTCTTTAATCCATTACTTTCAGCTGAATATTTCAGCCATTTGGATCTAAAGTTTCTCTTTCCTTTTCATCTGCATATCTATCAACTGATTTATCTGCTTGATCAGTGTTTTTGTGCACTTTTACTGCACTCTAATTGTGTGGTTCAGGTGTTATGATGGCCTCAGTCTACAGACCCAGACATTTACACACATACGCCGAATGTGCGAGCTTGCTTACAGTCCAGCAGGACACACACAATCGCCACAGCTGGGTGCTTTTTTCCGTCACATAACAGCTGAAACAACAATTGTTCTCACAGCGTAAGACCATTGTGTGTGTGCACTGTCTCAAACGCTTCAACAGTCTGTCTCCTTGTCTCTCACTTGCCCTGCAAATCTCGAGGGATGCCCAGTTTGACGTAAAGAGCAAAAGTTTCTAAAACGTTTCACTGCTTTTGCACTTGTGCTTTTCTTTCTCACTGTGTGGTGCTTTGGCCGGTGTTTCAGTTTAAGTTACTGATACCAACACAAACACGGAGAGCGGTCTGAGATTTTACTGAAATGAGCTGCTGTAACAATACAATTAGGCCACAGCCTGTTTCCATCACAGGGGAAATCCTGCTGCCTGGTTGGCCACTGATAGGAGTGAGACGAGAGAAAGAGTGAGAGAGGAGGATGAGAATGATAAGAGAAAAGCAAAGTGTGGGGGGATACGTGAGGAGGACATCTGTGATCCAGTCCAGAGGGAAAACAGCGCAGAGGTACCGTAAGAATGTAGGGGGTGAAACATACGAATGAAAGGCTGGAGAGGAAAAGGTTATGATAAAATACACAAATGTTGAGCAAGTAGCAAGGGTTAGTTAACCAGAGGAAAGACGAGGCAACTTAGAAGGCACAATTGTACCACTTCGGGACAGGATGCAGCTGAGCAGGAACAAAGCACTAAGAAAGACAAAAAAAAAACCAACAAAAAAAAACATGTTTGTGTGACAGTGTTGATTCTTTATCTTGAAAATAAACCCCAGAAGCAGCCAGGAAAGTGTCTCTGGTCTTTGTGTTGCATAGAAAACAAAGTGTTTCTGTGAAAAATCTGTCCTATAAATAAACATCTGTTTTTGTTTTCACATCTGGATTAAATATTACGATGACATCCTATTTTTTTTTCCACTTAAAAATGTTGATGACCTCTGTTTTGTTTTGCTTCTTTTTCTTTTTTTAATTTACTTATTAACATATCCATTTATTCTTTTAGTGAGCATGAGGACAATCTTATAAGAAACTGTGGATGTTAATCTTTAAATATGCTCAACAATGACTGCAAAAGTGCATGTAAAAATTACAGGTCAAACATTATATTTTTGTTATGGTTACCATTATGGCTACTTGATGTTTGCATCCACTGCTGTCTAAATGTCCAGGTCCGGGAACAGCCAACGACATGATTTCTTACTCTTATGGTAAATGTATGGGTACTTATCCCATACGTTCCTGCACAGAAAATCACTTTGGCAAACTACCATGCTGTGGTTACCCCTTTATAACTTTTTATGCATGGCAACCAGGGAAGAAAAGCAGGCCCAATTCATCCATCCAGGCTTCAGTCATATTGAAGCATTTAAGGGTTCTGTATTAAACACCATTTGAAAGTATATAAAACAGAATTTACCAAGGCCTGACTTTTGCCATGGGATTTGACTCTTAAAAGCACTTTAATTTAAATGAGATAATAACTTTAAATGACATCATATGTTTTGCCTTAACTTAATTCGTCTATTCAGGACAATGGGTGAAGCCATACACGTGGATCCCTGCTGTCTGGTGGCGACCACAAGAACACTGATTTCTTTTGTGTGTGTGTGTGTGCTTTAATTTAAATGAAAAGAAGTCATGAATAGATTAATGAGCAAAGGCGGATAAATATTTCAGAATGTGCTGGTTGAACATCGTAAGCAGGCATCTAAAGAACTCGTGCATATTCTGCTTCTTCTTATTTTGTTACTAGAGTGATTGTTATGAAACTACAAAACAGTGAATGAAACTGACAGAACGCAACATAATAGGAAACGCTGCATAAATTTACTTTGCAAAACTCATCTTAAGCGTTTCCTAATGTGTCCCGTCGCCTTAAAGAAAAGCAATTTGTGTCATAACTGAAACAAAATAAGATCCGTTAAGCCAACCAGTTAGATCAGATTATATTTGACTTTATTAATAGCCCGAGTTTGACACATGCAACAGTACATAAAGACAACATTAGCAGCCATAAAAAGTCAGACGGTGGTGGTTTTTTATGATCCAGTTCAGCCTCCTTAGGTGCCTCTCTGAGCCAGCCAGCGCCATGGGACTGATTTACTTGTCACACAAGGGGGACATATTTAGACTGGATGTGCTGGAGAGAGTGTGCAGTAAAGCTGGCAGGGCAGTGGATGACCCAGACAGTGGGAGTGTGGGGGAGACACATAAGACACACCAGTTAACCTCCTGCCATTAAACCAGCTTGATTTCTGACCAAGGGCCATGGGACAATGGAGTGTACTGCACTAATTACACACCCTGACACAGATAATAGGACATATACTTGCTCTTTATGAGAACAAACAGACGTCTGTAGATCTATTTTAACAACTTGCAGTTTTAGCAGAAATAAAAGGTCTTGAATATGGCTTTGCAGTGTGCCGTCTTTGCAGAAGCAAGAGACTTGATTAAAACATGTCTCTTGATGACTGAATCAACAGATAGTTGTCTTGAAATGCCAGAGTACTGGTTGATGCCAATCCACCCAGAATGTGCAGTGCTAGGTGGATTGTGACTAAATATGTCTGTGTTTATATTAACCTTTCTTAGGTATCAAATTTGAACTCCCTCAGCATTTACCGTACACAGTACGGTCACAAGGAAATGCAGGGTGTGTCTATGTGCTATAAGACAGATTATATGGGACCACCAACCCGAGACCACCATAATATTCCGAGACCAATAAGTAAAACATCACGAAGACTTTCCATCGCAAGTCTGCATATACATGGAAAAATAAGCTGTAATTTGTTCATACAAAAAGGGTTTCGGTGATTTCATCTGTAAGTTTTCAGAATTATCCATGTTTTACTGAAACAAAAACAAAAGAAATGAGCTTAATTACAAAGAAATCTGTAATAAAAAGAGCTCAATTTGTAAAACAATAAAATAAATAATAATAATAATAATAATAATAATAATAATAATAATAATAATAATAATAATCTATATATAACACTTTAAAGCCACCCTATTTTATTATTTTTTAAACAATTTATTTACTTTTATAAAGTAACATGGATAAAATTAAATAAAACTCTACAAACTGATAAAAACATGAAACAAATACAGGCCTGCTACAAAATATTATGAGTCAGGTGTAACTTTGATTTTTTGTCTCAAATTCAACAATATATTCTTTATCATTATTAGTAAACCAGAGCTATTACTGAGTGCATACACCTTTCTTAAGCTATATAAAAAGACAAGTATTTAATTTCAAGCAGTTTGAGTGTTGAAGGAAAATATCACTTCTCCACATAGTATCATCTATTTTAAAGTCATAGAAACTTTGAAAAGTTTAGCCTGATGAAATTCATCATATATTATGATTTCTTTTTACTTTCGCGTGGTTCTAAACGACTAAATGAAAAGCTTCCATGTGTGCAAAAAAAGTTTAAGCTAATAAAAAAAGGCATAAATTAAAGTAACAGTAAAAGTTAGCAGATGAGTATTTGGGCTGGTTCACAACAAAATCATAGTAATAAGAGAGACTGAGGTCTGGACGCGCTGCTCTGATCGCTGCCTGTCCCGCCACTGACAGTAAAGCGGGTAACCAAATATTCAAAAACAATACGTCATCCCACAATGCAGCGCGCTTACGTTCTCCTTTACAGCATTACCTCATCCCACAATCCACCGCGAGATTAAGAATCTTCTGGGTGGTGGTCGTCTAGGCAACGCGCCTTATCGGAGGACTCAGCCCCGCCTCGGAGACACGCCCCCCAGCCAATGGGAGAGCCCCGTCATGACATCATGGTTATTTTTAGAGAGGCAGCGGCAGCAGATAAGGTTTGCCTCCACGCTGGACCGCTCAGAGTATACACACAAGCAAGCGGTGAGCACACCGGAGACGCTCGGTGGCTGACAGGAAAAGTTAGAGCCGCGAGGCGCTTTTCATTCACGGACTCAATATAAGTCTGGATACTTTGACAAAAGCTTTGTGAACAGTTTCCACTCAACATAGAACAACCGGTCGTCGCTTGGTGAAAGAAGTAAGTTCTGATTCCTGTGTCGAGAAAAGTGCGCTCTCAAAGTTTGGAAGTTTTTACGCACAGAGAGGACGTTTGGAAATCAGTGTTTTCCTCCTCGGTAACCAGGAAGAAGAGAAGGGGGGACGGAAAGCTGTTTTTGTAGAAGACTGTGTAGCTACATTCGGTTTTTGTTTTATTTTTTTCTTCTATGTATACCAAGATGGAAACTACTTTCTATGACGACTCACTCAACGCTTTCTCCCAGCACGACAACGCCGGCTACGGATACAGCAACGCCAAAGCGCTGAAACACAACATGACACTGAACCTCACCGACCCGACGAGCGCTCTGAAACCTCACCTGCGCGCCAAAGCTGGCGACATCCTCACCTCCCCCGACGTGGGTTTGCTGAAGCTGGCCTCTCCGGAGCTGGAGAGGCTGATCATCCAGTCCAGCAACGGACTCATCACCACCACGCCGACCCCGACTCAGTTCCTGTGCCCCAAGAATGTCACTGACGAGCAGGAGGGCTTCGCGGAGGGGTTTGTGCGCGCCCTGGCTGAGCTCCACCACCAGAACATGCCGGGCACAACAAACGTGAGTGTCACCTCGACTCCACCGGCAACTGTCAACACTGCCCTGCCGCCTGTTTCATCTGTTGCCGGTGCCACCGTATACAACAACAATGCTGCCATGCGCTCTGAGTCGCCGGTTTATGAGGACTTGAACACTTTCAACCCGGCCATCAGCACCGTGTCGGCACCAAACTACACCACCTCAGCCCCCACTATGTCCTTCTCTGCTGCCCCGCCTCAGCTTCCCATCTACGGCCAGCCTTCCCCTGCCCAGCTCCCCCGGCTCACTGCGCTCAAAGAGGAGCCCCAAACCGTGCCCGAGATGCCAGGGGAGACCCCTCCTCTTTCTCCAATCGATATGGAGAGTCAGGAGCGCATCAAGGCTGAGAGAAAGCGGATGAGGAACCGCATCGCTGCCTCCAAATGCCGGAAGAGGAAGCTGGAGCGGATCTCAAGGCTGGAGGACAAAGTGAAGACCCTAAAGTCACAGAACTCCGAGCTCGCATCCACCGCCAACATGTTGCGCGAGCAGGTGGCCCAGCTGAAGCAGAAGGTGATGAACCACGTAAACAGCGGGTGCCAGCTTATGTTAACGCAGCAGCTCCAGACCTTCTGAGGTGGTGTCAGCGACAGAGGAGAGAGAGAAAAGACTGTAGTTGAAAGAATAGGACGCTTCCTGTGGTAGTGAGTGTCTGCGACTCCCGAAATCGTTCCGGTATTTGGGATGATGTGGCGCGACACTGGCGGGACCGGGGACGGTACCAAACTGAGTGCCACGCGCTCCCCAGTGGCGCGTCCTAGAGATGGGCTCAGGACTGTGACAATAGCCATGAACCAGAAGGGACATGGCAACAGGCAGAACCCCTTCTGTTTCTGTGTCGTGCTGTTTTTCTTTACAGAACTGGACAGGACTGACGTTTTCTTGATTTACACCGAGCCCTGCATGGACTTCATCATGACCATCAATGGAAAAACTCAGTATTAGAGGATTTTTTTTTTTTTTTTAAATCACACGCAATACAGACTTTTCTTGCTGTAGCCATAATTAATGGCCTCACTTTTTAGGCGTGTTGGTCAACTCTAAACGGCTGAAAAGTTGCAACAAATGCTGCCTGACTCATGAGTTAAAGTACAAAGTACATTTTTTTCTTAATTGTAAGAAATTAAGTTAGAAAAGCTTCAAGATTTACTTGTTTTTTTCTAAAGCTGTTAATGGGGTTTCACTCATTGTTATATGTATATAAGATCAACTTGGAGTACTTATGTTTACCATTTGTAATAAGAATACTGTATAATTTTTTATGTTTGTTTTCTGAGCACTTAAGAAATTAATCAATATTTAAGAAAATAAACCTGATAAAATGAAGCAACATTGCCTCTGTGTACTTGTAAGAGTGTGACATAAAAAGTGGGTGTGCCACCGAAGAAGTCAAACAATAAAACATGTTGCAACATGTTGTAAGAGCTGCTAGTGCTGAGTACCTCAAGCTAAATTCCATTAGTACTGGTATTGATTGAAGCTGAGTGATTGTGTTTCAGCTGGCAGGCCGGGCTCACTTACTCCTGATGGAGGCCAATTCTGCAAATTGGGGTTGTAGAGTTTGCGATCTCCACTTTTGTGTCTCAGCTCACACAGGCTCAGAAGAAGAAAAGTGTAACTGCCCTATAAAGTCTCCCATTGCTTTGAGCAATAAGTAACATTTTCATATCATGTAACACTCAGTGACAATAGGCTAAGGTGTGCAACCCTTAATTAAGAAATCTGGAACTGATTTGATAAATATGACATCTCCCTTGCTATTTCATCATTCAGTTATTCACCATTGCTCTGTCCTTTTGTAAGTATTCAAAAAGGTTTCAGCATGTCAAAGAAAAAAAAAGAAGTGTTAGTTTCTGAAGTGCAAATCTCTGTATGGGATAAATTAATACAATAAACTGTGGCTTGGTGGGATTATGTATATATATGGTGAGTCTTTTTTATCACATAGTCATCTTTCAGTCAGTACCAGCTAAAAGAACAAACAATAACCCAAACAAAGGCTTTGTGGTGATGGCTTTAACCACAAGAAAAAAGGAAAAAGAAAATACAAGCCTGGAGCTCAGTATCTCAAAGTGCTGAATATTCTTTGACTTATTTACGGTACAGCAATGTGGGCCTATAAATATGTTATGAGCACTTTTGAAATAAATTGGGAATTTTATTTTATTTTATTT